GGGCGGGTGGCCCTGCGCGCCGGTAGAGCCTGGCGGCAGGGAGATCAGCCCACCAGGTCCTTCTCGCGCCCTGCTCCCTGCCACACGTTCCCACAGGCCAAAGCGCCACCGAAGTGAGATCTGAACTGAGATCACAACTCACACGGAGTTTTCTACTTTTGCTGCCCCTGTGTTGAACGCACACATTAATAAAAGAGGCCTCAAATCATATTACCTCGGACCTCCTGGGTGCTGAGCTTTGCTGGGTGATACTCTGACCCGTACAACCAGGTACGCTGTGGGTCTGATTTCAGCTTTAGGGACTTGGTTGTAGCAAATGGGACTCTTGCTCAACTGCAGTGCTGGATGGACCATCCTCAGGACCAGAAAGCCCCTTAACCAAGCAAAGCCCTTTCTGGGACGTTCCCAAGAGTTCAAGAACAGTCAAAATCTAGGAGGTCAAGAATCGTCAAAATCACACCTTCTATGGCAACAGAATTTGTGAACGAACAGAAAGGCAGTTAGGGAGGTTGTGATCATAAAGTGAACATTGCCCACGTTGCAATGAGAGGCCCTTTCTTCTTTAGCAGTCATGCGGCTTATTCTGATTTTACAATGGCTGAGATCAGATAAAGTGGCAGAAATTAAAAAAAAAAAAAAAAAAAAGTGCCAGCAGAAGCGTCAGCCCTGAAGCAAACAAATTCTCAAAATTCACGCAGGCATATGGCACAGGGCATTTCACACGGGTTTTCCTTTGGAGCAGCTGTCAAAATGTACTGTAGGGGAGTTATCTTTTACACACATAACTAGTATTGCATCGGAGAAACCCTTACCGTGCACTAGAAGAAACTAGCACCTTAATTCGCAGAGATCACTCCACTGTTTGGGTAGTGCTCTGTGGATATCTGTCGCTTGGGGTGAGAGCCACCATCATGCCACTGCTGAATGATCTTTTCTGAAAGAAATTGCCTTCAAGTAGTTGTCAGAGAGCCAGCCGCTGCGGTTTGAAGAGAAAGCTTTTTGCCTAACTATTGCAGAATAATATTCAAACGATTAAACTCGGGTGGAAGCTTGTATGAAAGCGCTTAGCTATCCTTTCCCCACCCACGAATGTACAGCATCGGGGTAAGAAGAAGAAACACAAGTCAAATCAGGTTTGTGTCTGTTTCCTAGACATTTGGCAGAAACCAGTGATATGTTAGACATCTACACGGACATGTACATTGCTCCATGGTTTAAGGATTTTTTTTCCAGTAGAAATGGAAGAAAACTTCATAACAGATTAAAACACTCAAAATCTGTAGAAATGATATTAAAAACAAAGAAAACAGATTAAATATGAATAAGTAGAAAGAAATGTGTAGCCAAATAAATATAACTGAGGAGCATATTCTTGATTTTTCTTGTTTTAGTGAAGCAATGTAACCAGAGCTAATTTCATTTCCTTCCTATAAATCCGTTGAGAATATTATGACATCAGGAAACTAGTGAAATATATTGATTTAGTAGAAATTTGAGGTCTAATGCAAAAACTTCACAGATCATAAACATTTGTAAATTTTCTAGGGCCTGTTAAGCTTTTGATTTTGGAACCCGAATAAGATCACAAAAAGAAAACAAGAGTTTCATGCAGTTCTGAGAGATAATGAACTCATCAAAAGAGGAGGTTATTTGAAATATAACCTCATTGTAAACTAATAGAAAAAGAGAAACCAAAAGCAGACACACCAAAGTCTGTTTTACTGTTAACAAACAGCAACATGTTCAGTCTGTTAGTACTTTTGAAAATTCAAGTCACACTGCTTAACATCCACGTGACTCATTCAATGACAGACACCTGCATATGTAGCTGTGGTTTAGATTTTGGCAGCTTTTAAATGAAAAGATTTATATATAATTTTCTTGCACTATTAAAAAAGGAGAAACTGCACATTTATAGCTCCAATTCCATCCAAAGGCAAGACTATCTGAAAACTTACCCATCTTTAATATCATTTAAATGTTTTACGGCTTGTACAGCTTAACATCATTACACAGTATAAAAAGACCTAAAATATACCTACAAGTCAGAGAAGAGAAATTCTAAGGAAAAACATGGACAATTCTGTTTTTAGAGTAGAGAATCGCTTTAAGCTTAAAGTCTTTAAAGCTTTTAACATTCATTGCAGGAACAGGAAAACTTAACAGCAAATACCCATCTTCAATAGGAACTAACAAATATCACTTACGAAGAGCAACTTACTGAGAATAGGAGGCTACCCCTGAAGAACCAGTTTGTTGTTTAAACCTGGGTACTTATTGACAAACAATAATAACCAGCGAGCCCACAAATAGCATATGCTGGTGTTGCATGTGAAGAGTGGAAGATTGTTCATCCACTTCTGTTTTAGTCAAGGCAAACGAGAGTAAAAAGCTGTAAAACATTTTAAAACAGACCTTTTTGAAATATTCTTTTAAAAATGAGTTGTATTCCTCTGTTTTGCTTGGTATACATATGCCAAGATGTGATGTATAGGCAAATCTGAGTGTCCCCGCAGAGTCAGCGCGGAGGTGTTTGCTACCTCACACCAAGAAAGAAAACGGGAATGCTGTGGTGCCTAGGACATTGCGTGGTCACTGTCGGTTGTGCATTCAGGTGCCTGGTACTGTTAAATACCTGGCCTTTCAGGTCTGTAAGTGCCTAAGAGGCATTTTGAAAATTGGCAGTAGCTATAAGGCACAAACTTGGGAAGTTTTGTCCTGCTCCGTGACTTGTGGTCAGCAGTCTATTCCTAATCTTTCTCCAGAGTAAGTCCTAGAGCATGATAAAAAGCTGTGTGTGGTGTGCGTCTCAGGGAATGAGCATTTTCTTTAAATATTTTATAAGTATTTTCAAAGTATTATTTAAGCACTTGACATATAGCAAACTATCCTAAGGCTCCCTAACAACACATCTTTTCTTTAAAGCACTGCACATGAAAACTTAGAACCATTTTCCATTTATTTCTTTGTTTCAAACCTAAGCTTGAGTATGAAAGATTTCAGTCAGTTATATGAAATTTGGTGGCTTCACACACAGACAAAAAAGGCCCTTTAAATCTGCTACAATAGGTGAATAACTTGTAACTGTTGCACTGTGGCACTTTTGTGGCATTTAACACTGACATTTTAGCACGTCTACTTTTAATCCTGCCTTACACCCCAGTTCTCCTTGTTGCTGAAAACATAATGGCTAAATTTACACTAGAGAGGTAACATCTCTGTATTAAGACCGTTAACAACAACGTTTTCAGCTTTTGCTGAGAAATCTGCTCGCGCTCGTGCACCACTGCAGAGTCCCGAGCACTTGCTGTGCTGATTCAGTCATCGCAGGCAGCGTCTCACGACTTCTGAAGTAATTACTCCTTGCAGTATCAAGGGATCACCAACATCCAGGGGGCATGTTGCTCATCTCAGTCATTGTCTGGGTGCATTGACACCCATTTTAAAGACTCTGGCACTATTTTGTGTGGCCAGCCCCATGATTGAGATCCCATAATTACAATAATTAGGAAGTCTCACCTCAGGATATTATCTGAGTGACCCACCCAAACCTAAGTCCATATGGTTTGAAATACCTAATGAGTCAGTTAATGTGCTATGTCCAGGAGTAATGGACACTCAATATGGATGGCATGAAGACATAATTTACCAACTTCCTGACTGATTAAGGTTTTTCAAGTAGACAGTTCTTGCGTTTTGCATCTTGCAATAGGTTCAAAGTCTTAACTGCTTTTATGTGTTAAATAGAGCAGAAGAAAAGAGCTGAGACTCCTAAAAGACAGGCCAAAAAATGGCCTTTCTTTAAAGACAATACAAAAATTGGATATCTCAGGACTTTCATCTTATAATAATGCAAATTATTTGAAAAGCTCTATTAAAATACAGGAGATAATGAGAGCAATATGTGTCATTTGCTTGTCATTGAAGCCAAGTGGCCTCAATGAATGAATGATTCCCCTGCCCTGCCAGGCCAGGAAAGAAATTCTTTCATGAGGGGAATATACCTCACCAGCTATATATCAGCTGTAAGTGTGCGTGTGTATATATATATTCACATAAATAAACACATATATATATATGTTTTTGTTTCTTTGACTGAGCTGAGCTGCAGAAGTTGTGTGTGCAGTCAGGGTCAAGATTCTTCTTCCCACCTGTGTTCCCACCTTCCGTATAATTTTAGTGGCTGCTGGGATAAGGTGTTGCTCCCAGTTTCCATCATTGTAACTGAAAAGACCACCAGGGCTTGGGTTTGTTCCCTATTCCTTCTCATATGTGAGAGGTTTTATTGCTCATACCTTTAGAAAAGCTTTTTTTTTTTTTTTTTTTTTTTTTTGAGCACTGAAGGAAAAAAATTGGTTTTTGTTTCTTTGAGCCACATTCATTTATTTCCAAAAATGTTCAAGGAGATGATGTAAGTCTATTGTGGAAATAGATTTCTGGTATTTACAGGGAAAGTCTAATGTTTGGAGTAGACAAGCGGATGAGGAATGATTTTCCTTATGGGAGTAATTCCAAGAATCCTAGGCCTTGCTCTGACATTGACTGAGCGCATACAAATAATTTCATATCTGCCTCATTTTATCCATCTGAAGAGGTCTGGGGTGGCTTGCTTGAAAATTCTCAGATCCACAGCTGCTACGTGAGGATTATTGTGGCTGCTGTTACCTGGTGGTGGCCATTAGCATGAGTTTATCACGGAGTGCATGATGAATTAGAACTGGTTTCCCATATAGGAACTTCGAATGTGCATTCTCCTTTCTCCCATTGTCCCAATTTGCTTTTTTTTCTTTTTTTTCCATTCAGAAATGGATGAACTCCTCCTCTCCTCCAAAAATGAATGCACATGGAAGGAAAAAGTTGCATGAAGTTGCCACAATCTT